CCGAGCCCCCGCCGTGCCCCGCACCCCGGGCCCCGCAGCCCCGGGCGGTGTGAGCGGGCACCTCCCGCCCGTCGTCCCCCCCCCCTTAAAGCTGCGTTTTACCCCGTCCGCAGCGTGCTCTGCAGGCAGGGGAATAATTTGAAAATGAGGTGTAATTGCTTCCTACATTAAGCATTTTTAAACGCTTAAGTAGACGGCGAATTTCCTACGTTTTAATTACAACACAATATAACTGTTACTTAATAAATCTCCGTCTAAATCTTTGTACTTGCTAATCAAATCCCATGCCAGGAGAACAGCTATAAAAGGCTCAACTGTTACTTGCGGGGAAAGCACAGATTTGGAAAACTTTTTTTTTCCCTGCAATGGAGACATTTCAAAACGTATCACACTCAGATTGTGACTTCCCCGCTCTTCATTTATTATGCTTATAACGAAGTCGAGGAAAATCCGCGATCTCTGGTTAGCATGTTCCCATTCAAAGACAGAGAGTTTGGACGTATTTTTCGGTTCTGTGTCTGGCTTTGGATTCCATGTGGAGGAGACTGTTGTAGCTCGGATTTGGTGCTGAGAGTAGCTCAGTCAGAGCATTTAAAATTTAAGATGTGGAGCGCAAACGGCAGGAATGCTTGGGAAGGGGTGAATGAGGCAGAGTGGGAAACATCGTAGGCCCCAAAGGTGACCAAGCACTGTATTCTATATATTACCTTGCAAACAATATACTGACCTTAATGCTGTCATATTTGTTTTGTATTACATTTTTCTATTATCCCATTATTATTCTGTTAATTTCGTATTACAAATACTGAGCAATGTAGTATAGCCGTGACTGTACAGTTAAAGATAGAATTAGAGTTAATATTCATCCTTCTACAATTTTATTTAAAAATGAAATTAATAAAGTGTTAGCAGTCTTCCTAAAAGTGATGGAAATAGCTTGTCATTATTGTGTTAAGAACAGCTGTATTGTGGCTGCATTGTCTTAGGTTCCTGGCTGGGCCTTCTGCACACAGTTCTGCTGTGCAGGTCCTGCTCCTCGGTTGTAAACCATCACCTCTGTTGGAATTTCATTTACCTCAACAGATGTGTTGAGGAACAATGTTATGTACATCGGGTTATTTTCAATGCTGGTGTTGGAAACTATTTTTTTATCTTTTTCCACTCTTTCAATATTTTTACTTTCATCTCCATACTATATCACTGTTCTACTGTCAAAATCAGTCTCAAAGTTTTGTTCAACCTTAAAGATCACCTGATATATGTAATTTAAACATATTCGCTATTTAAAAATGGAGCAGATTGCTATTAATAAAATGGAATTCATTTATCAAAATACATTGTCCAGAGAGTTTAAAGGGGTAGAAAAGCTAAAAGGTATCTGAAAGGTCATTTTCAGAACCCTGCTAACTAAAAGAAGACACAGAGGAGATTCCCCTCCCAGTCCTTCCCCATATTTGCCCATATGGGCAAATAGAACTTGGTTGTGGAAAGTTCTAACATATAGACCAGTCTATTCATGTAATATTCAGACTTGCTTACCGGAGAATTAATCCACCTTTACATTAATTGCTTTGTCTGTCACAAGTTTACTGCCTTGCTAGAGTGTATTCACTCTAATGTGTATTCATTCAGAGGAAGTTCATGTCAAATAAGAATGTGAAAATGTGATTTTTTTCAGTTTTTGCAATATTCTTTTTCCCGAAAGTTCTGTTCCAGGCAGGTGAAAAGTGAATTTATGAACTGAACTCTTGCTGCACGTAGCACTGACTTACTAGCTGTCTGTTTGCTGAAGCGCAGTGAGTCTGGGGTGACAGTCTGTGACAGTAAAGTCTCACCAAAAGGCTCTGATGTTCCTAGACCTTTACATAGTCTCTTGCAAGGCGTACTGCTTTGGGTGTAAGTAGATGAGGAAGGGACAGGAGAGAACATTGGTTCATTTGTACCGATCTAAGAAATGGGTATGCGGAATGGTGGAAAATGGGGAAGCCACAGTCATAATTTATGTGCCAGAAGGTCTATGGTGAAATAGGCTCTGTCTTTGGACTTCAGGGTGCTCTGTCTTTGGACTTCAGGGTAAATGCTATTTTCCTCATCTTCTCATTACAAAAGCTCGCTCTTCAGAAGGCAGCCAGCAGATTTCCCCCAGAGAAGTGACCGTTCTGTAATATTCCAGGTTTTGCTGTATTACCAAAGTCAGCGGCGTCTACAAGAGGAGTAGAGCAGGAGGGAATCAAGCGTGCCTATTTTACTTAGGCTTTCCAATTACACAACAGGAGCAGAGAATGTGCTCTGAAGTGCAGTAACAAAGGGTTTTGTGTCACTGATAGGGAATTCTGCTGTTTCTAACAAATATCAACTACACTTTGTAAGCGTCAGCAACATTCAAGGTTCACCTGTCCGCAGCTTGCAAATAGGTCCGTAGCTACTAGGCAAGTGAAGGACATGTTCCCCAGCCTTAGTCATGGAAGATAATAGTTTACTTCTCAAGAAATCCCCTGGAAACTCCCTCTGCATGAGATAGACAAGAAAAATTGAGCCCAAAGAACAAGGTCTTCCGTAGTTTTAAAATATATTTATTTGATTCCTCCTTTAAATTGAGATACATTTATTTTAACACACGGGATCCTGTAGGTTTTTTTCAGGAAAAATTCTTGTCAACCTCCCAGACTTGTCAGTCGGCAGCCAAGGCTGATCTCTTTGATGGCTTTGAACGGCTGCATTTCACCTCTTGTCCCACACATCAGCGGGAATTCAGCCTGGGAAAAGACTCCACCAAAAGAGGCAGAAAGACTTCATATTTTTGCCTTGGCAATATGCAGTTACGCTCATTTAACGTGAAACCGAACCTCTGGATGTAGAACATTTTTCACTTTAAGTATTATGAATTTCCTGATGTCTCTGGGGCCTTTGTTTGTGATGTTCTTTGGTATTTGGGCTTGGGGAGTGGAAGGCTCTGCCTGGCACACTGTGATTCTGTACCAAATGTTCCCCAGGAAATCACAGAGATGCCTTGTCAAGTTTCTATTTGTTTTTAATTACCTGAGGTACCAAGGTGTCGTTTATACGAAAGCAATTGCATTGTGTTTTTCTGGTGCATCATATTCACAAATTTGTCATACTGCTTTGCAAACAGAGTGACTGTGAATCAGAGAAACTGAAAAGGGAAATAGATTTTTCTGGGAGTGGGACAGTTTTGGGTCATACACATTTCATACAGAGCTCAGTTATACTGCAGTATTTATCCGGAGAGGCACATTCATTGTGTTGTTGGGGGAATGGTTTCTACAGATAATTATATTATTGATACAAAGGATGAATATTCTGAGTATTTTATGCATTACACAGCTTTTACTGACAGCTGCATTAAGAAAAAAATAGTAGTTGGAATCAGTGAAATACAAATGCATTTGTACCCTACATTTGAAATGAAAACATTTAATAAATATGTATCATATTTAAAATGCAGTTTTCAGACATCTGATGCTTGTGACTTTCTGTACTAAAGTACAAACGAATGTGCAAACTGAAAAAGTTGTGGTCTGTATTTACACATGTATGCAAATGCAGACATATGTCTGTATGATTTGTTGAGAGGCAAATAGTTTTGGAAGTATTTTTTCTTTTTTCAGAATTATTTGCCCTGTGCATTGCAGGAAGCAGATGTGCTTATTGCCAAAGGGAACTGACACTCGTTAATGGGAAAAAACTTGTAACTGGGGTCTAAGAGCAAGCAGTTATGACAAACTCGCTCCTGGAAAGGGTGAGCTATTCGGAGGCCTGATCCCAAACCAACCCACCGGAGTTGCTGAGAACACTCCTCTGAATTCAGAGGGGCTTGTGAACATGGTTTGGGCGAAGTCTTTCTCTGACATGTTGGGCAAACCCCAAAGCAGCAAACGCTTCATCTCTGACTCAGCTGAACTTCATCAACTTGAGTTAGTGGCTTGAGTTTTGGGCTTTGCTGGGAAAATGATCCCTGTCCTTTGGTTGCTTTCTGATTTAGGGGTCATGAGCTCCATGTGCTTACAGCACATAAGGGGAAGGCTCCATCTTAGGGCAAGTGATGGCAAATTATTGTGGGTGCAATTCTGGAGAATTATTTGCACAGAAAATGTAAGCAATGTAAATATTTAGTTTCTGATCTTTCATTGTAGACCAACAACGTACTTGTTGGTCTTTACTGTTTCTATTGTCTAAAGACATCTAAAGCATCTTTACTGTTTTTGTCTGCAGTGCTTAGAAACCACACCATATGGTAACTTCTTTACAAATAAGATGAAAATGTAACCTTAAATATTATGGTCAATTACATGACCATCCCACACAGATTATTTATTGAAAAAAATAATTAGCAGAGTACTTATTTTGGCATCTTATATTCTAGCTAGCTTGGGATTCAGGCAGTTGGATTCCTGCTATAGGGCTGTGCAAAATCCATAAAGACGTACTTCCTGCTCCTCACTCATACCCAGGGGGTGGAAAGGTGTTGAGGAGAGGTGCTGATTTGCTCTTTTGCCATAGTACTTAGCAGAATTGTTAGCAGCATTCCTGTCTGGTGCAGGGGTTCAGACCTTGGCTCGGAGACTGTCTGGTTCCATGTCACTCTCATTAGGATCTGCAGCCCAGTGCCTGCTATTAAAATACTGTCACTAAGATGGCTTGCTTGAGGTCTAGGCATCCATGTCATTGCATGTTGTGGGTGAGGGGCATGAGCTGATCCCACTACATGCACCCGATTCCTTCCCAGGTGATCTGGATGGCACCCCATTCGAACCCCATTTGTGAGACCTGCCTCTTACTGGCCACCTGCTTCCACGGCCAAAACACAGTGCCCTGCCCACCAACCCACATGGCTTCAGGGCACTCCACCCGGATGAAACTAATAAAGAAAGTCAGAGAGGTGAGTGAATGGTATAATTCAAGCTGCACTCTGAGCACCCTCTGCTCAAAGGGCCCCAACCCACCAGGAACTCTACATTGACAAACAGAACTGGGGATCAAAAAGGGAGAGTGGTGGGAGAAACCTGTCACCGCCAAGGAGCAGAGTGCCAGGGGCAGGGGGATTAGGTAGGACTTGATCTGTTCAGTCTTCTGGTACTTGCAGTAGAGTGGGAAGTAGATGAAGACTGTATGGTGTGTCTGAATTTGTCTGTTGTGGCAATTTATCACCTCTTAGGAACTGCCTACATGACCTAGTCATAAAGATGATAAAAATTCAACAATTGATGGGCTGTGATTTCACCCTTGTTAGCTTACCAGCTTCCCAGTAACTGCCTCTGCGGCATCAGAGGTTTGTTAGACAAAGGGGACCTCTGTTTTGGCTCTCCCTGAAGAGGACAAAGTGGGGACTTTACCAGTTTGACCCCACATTTGCCCAGCTTCTAGCCATCAAGAATCCCTTTGATATCTCTGTGTCCATGAAGTCTCCTTCTTCCAAACTCAGTTTAATTTAAATAACACCATGTTGAAATATCAATATATTGTTAAATATATTATATTTAGAAGGCATTTTTCACAGAACTTTTTGCTAATACTTGCAGTCTTAACAATCAGTGTAGAAAGAACAAATATTTATTCCTGTAAGTGTATTTGTTTGTTTAATGTTCGTGCCCTGCCTGACTCCAGATTTTGCCAAAATACCATAGGGGAATTATTGTGCAAATTTGTTCTAAAACTATGAGAATCTGTAGTTATTTCCTATTCAAGGGTGTTTGCTTATATGGCATGATTTTCTTTCTGAACTTTCCTTTTCTTCTTGCAAGCACAGGATATCTGTCTAAGGGGTACTCACATTGTGTCTTTGTCATGAAAATTAAGCTTTGTGCTCACAGCAAACAGAATTTGTTTTCACTCCACATTGAGGTAGTCCAGTTGTGAGGTTTGTTAAATAATAGAATATAACCCAAGATCCAGCACCTTCACTGGGAAGGCCGTGACTTCTATTTGTATCATCCTTTTTAAACCGGAGTGTGAATAGAAAGCAACCATTCGGTGACTGTACAGACTTTCCACAGTAATCTATGTTTGGGAGACACTTTTTGGATGGACATATTAGTGTGTGCCATATGTGGTAGATTTCACTTCACTGTGAAAACCATCTAAACCCATGCCTCTTCTGAAGAAGCACTGGAAACCCTTGCTCCCCTCTTTTCCCTCCGAGTGCGCTTGTAAAACCAACAAACCCCGTCCACCTTGTCTCCATTGTGCCTTTTTCTCCTACCTCATGTTTCCTCTGTTGTTTTTGTAGTGGATTCCTCAGTCTCTGAGAAAGAGTTTTTTTTTTTCACTTTTATTTCGGCTGTAGTTTGTTTTGGAAAAGACATAAAATGCCCCTGGCTCCTTTAGGAAAGGATTGGTGATGGTGTGTAAATTCAAGTTACTATTACTATTTCCAAAAGTGGGTTTTTATTTCCCTGAAGAGGCCAAGATTTAAAATTTGATAAGAAAATATAATTAAGATTGATTTTGATGCATGTCGCAACTATAGTTAAAACACTCATTTGATATTATCTGATTTCTGTTATTCAGTGCAGCTGGGGACGCCTATAAGTAAAGGAAACAAGTTTAAGTTAATAAAAAAAGCACACTGAACATGGGGAATGGGTCGGCTTATTATTAAGGGAATGAACTTTATTTTAGAAGGAAGTAGTGTGATTTTCTCATGCAGTACACTTTAAGGCATTGAATTTAGTAACAGGAGAAATAACTGTAAAGAAAGCAGCATCTTTGTAAGAGACACTGTATGGGATTGGGTAACTAATTATGTTTGGAATTTTAAAGCACTCGAGCATGCAAATAACTTTTTTTTTTTTTTTTAATTGTGACTTCAACTAGAATACTAGCATTGCTTCGTATGACTTAGTGAAATATTGTAATTCTCTATTCTTGAAAGGTCTCTTCACATTTTTTGAAGCTCAGTCTTCTGAGAATCAACCCAGTTGAACTGAGCAGCAGACTGACTGTAAACCCCTTGCCCATGTGTTGTTTTAAAAGCTCCTCAACTCCAGCATATTACTTCTGTCCAGTCTTCCCTGAAAAAAATGTCATATGTTTCAAAGTAATGTCCTACCTTCAGAATGTTCCCCCTTCTCTTCAAGGTTTTTTGGATGTTAGAATTATTTAATGATGATGTACTCACTTTTCAGAGTCTTTTCTATTCTCCTCTCCTTGCAGTGAAATTAATAGAAAATTGAAGGGAGGATATGTTCAGAAAAAGAATTTTCTTCTTTAGTTTTCATAGCTAATATGAGCTCTGAAAAGATTTTTGCAAGAAATTTTTCCAGCATTATAAAAGGACAGCCAACACTGTTTTGTAGGGTGAACTCTAGATTATTCACATACTGCTTAGCAATTTTATTACATTTTTCTTAAAAAGATTTTTAATGAAAAATGGTATCGTAAACTGGAGAAATTGACTCAGTACTGACTTTTGTAATCCTTCTTCTTTAGGTAACCTCGACTTAGCTGTGTGGGCATGTTAATTTTAATGGGATACTGATCTGAATGAGTGTTTGTGGGATCGTGTCATTTTTGCCATTGATGCTGAAGTACTGAATTTAGCTTCAGAATTTAGCTGTAATTTAGTTAAATCCAAGTTTTACCCATGTATTATTTAAAATTATTCACTTTAAAACCTTAAAAGAAACATAGGTGTATTACTTACATCTTTAGGTAATGCCCTTTTCCTAAATGAGATTTCCATTACAGGCCTGCTGCTGATGTTTTACTTGGAAAATTTGTTTACTCTTCCCTTGGGATCTCATATGTTGGTTTGATTTATAAATCATATTTAACCTCCAATTAAAAAGGGAGATTTAGCATGTTTGCTTCCTTTATGTTTGCAGTTTGGTTTTGATTGCTTCTAGTCTTGTTGCCGTAACCTTTTTGACTGATTATGTGCACGTTACTAAGAACGTGAGAGATCCTCTGGGTTTTTAAGGTAATTTGCTCTTCTGATTGAAGGACTAGATATTCCCCTCTGCTCCCTGCTATGCTTTTCCCTTGCTGTGGAAAAAATGACTTTTCCAGTAGCTGCTTTGCGACTGTGTTTTCAGGACATTCGGAAAAGGCTCGGCGTTCCCAGAAGTTGTTTATGTTTTTCGTTTTGAAAAACGAGCAGCGAGCGGGTGTCTGTCTGCGGAGCTCCGGCAGCGTCCCTGCAGCCCCGGCCACTGCCAGCCCCCCGCTTCGCCCCGGGCAGGGGGGTGTGATGATACCTCTGCAGATTTGGTTCGTTTGCTCTTGGGGAAAGGCTCCGTGCCGAAGGATCAAGGCAACGTGCTGAGCTTGCTGATCCGAGGATAGAAAGGATTCGTTCCGTCCAAGTCAGCCTTAGAATTGAGAAATCCAAAGGAAACAGCAAACCTTATTCACCAGAGGTGTGTTCCCCAAATCTTGACGCAGGCTGAACTTCTGCTGATTCCAGCAGGGGAGTTTGGGCTGAGTCACTATTTGAGCTCATTAGGGCTGGTGAATTAGGTAACTGGAGCTTGAAGCCTATGTTGTTTCTCCAGAAAGAGGGTTTTTTCCTAGACATTTAGAATACTTCCACAAATCAGGCACTCTTAGTCTATGCAATAAATTATCTATTTAATAAAATACTGTAAGAACTACATTACAATGGGCAAGTGATTCAAATAATTGGGCATAATAACTTTAAAATAAGAAGAATAATTTACGTTCTTTTGGACACTTTAGGATTAGACTATAAAACTGAGGTGGCATCCACCTTTGGCACCAAATCTGCTCTTTTTTTTATTCCTGTAAACTGAAATGAGATCATTTACATTATTCGTATTAGTAATAACTAATATAAATGCAGGTCTGTGATTTTGAATGCTATTTCTGAGAAACTTTAGGTGACTGGGTCATTTTCTGAAACATTTAGAAACCACATGGGAATGGATTGCAGGGAGAGGGTCTAATTTTGGTACTTAGAGAACATGCACTTTGCAAGCAAAAGGCAGAGAAGGAAAAGTAGAGAAGGGGATGAAACAAAACAAAATAATATCAAGTAATTAAAATATAGATTTTGGATTTATATCATGATGTCTGAAAGTGGAATCTAGCTTGTGTGTTTATCTGGTGCTAATGTGACCAAGGCAGAAAAAAAAAATCAGTTGGTTTGTCTGACCTGGATTGACTGGGAAGTTTGTCCAGAAAGCTTGTGCTTTCCTTACCATGAGGGAGAGAGGAGGCTGAAGCTGTGTGACACGTTGTACCAGCATAACCTGCGTAACAGAGGTCAAGGTGTATGGGGAAGAGGAACTGTTCTGACTTTTAGGAATCCAAAGGAGCTAATGGAAATTACTTGTTCCAAAGATAATCGCACATAAGCTTGGTTCATTCACCCACCCCCTCTGTGTCCCAAATCCCAAACAGACTGAAAACAACAACAAACGATGGTGTCTCTAGTTAGTATTTTACCTGAAGTGTCTAAAACTAAAAATTCCCTCCGTTAAAAACACTGAACCAACTCTTTCACTGGTAAAAATACAGGCAGTCCATTTGTTTCGGCAGCATCATTTTATGTGACCTAAAGCAAGACCTTATGTCCACCCTGGCTTTGAACACTTTCCTGGATATTCATTTCACTGGCACTGGTGCCTACCAACAGTAACTCAGCAGAAAAGCACCAGACCCAACTTGTAACCCTGACCCAACCACTTGTTGTTTTGCAGGTATCTTTGCGAGAACATGTTTAACTGAATTTTTGAATTGGTGGGAAGTTGTGTGTTCTAGGTTTTGAACGCTGCTTTAAAATTTGGAAATGCTTATTTCATCAGTTGTCTCAAAACCTTGATAGAAGCAGCAGCTCAAAGGAAATGTTTCTCTGTGGTCTTTGTAGAAGCCAGGCAGTAAGCACTTTCAATCAGGAACCCTTATCACTTGCACAGCAGAAGTTCTAGTTCAGTTAGAACTACATGTTTGTTTGTTTGCTTTAAAAAATTAGATTTCCCTTGAAAAGCAATGGTTTAAATTAAGAAAAAAAATATTTATAAAACTTAAAAAACAGGTTCAAGGAGCTCTGCACTTAAAACAAGTTCTAAGGGTTTTAAAAAACCATAAACACCATGGGGTTCTCGCACTCCTAATTACGAATGTTTAGATTTTGGTGTTCATTTCCTCTGATTGAAATACTGCAGGATGAATTATTCATCCAGTATATACAGGGTCATGGAACTTAATCCCCTCCATTTATTTTAAGTGAATGTCATGTTTGTAAAAAGTGCCAGATTGACAGACAAGATTCAACCCTTCTGATAACCTACACATTGTACCTAAAGCTGTTTAGAAGTAAAAAAACTCTTGAGGTTAAAATTATTGGGTCAAGTCCTTCACTGATGAAAGTCAAGAGATGAAAAATCATATTTTTTTTTTAAAAAAGCAGCATGGTTTTAAATCACATAACGTGAGGTTTCCTCTATCCCCTCAGCTTTAAATTTGGATCAGAGGAGGCCTCTGGCTGCTCTGTGGGTATGGCTGAAACCTCCCCTGAAGCAGAACTGTGCTCTGTGCTGGGCCAGTCCTTACCCATCCCAGTGACGCCTGCTTGGCTGGCTGAAGGCATCTACTGGCATTCATATCAACATGGGTTTGAGTGGTAAAGCTTTGGGCACTGGAACTGAAATAAGAATGAGTCATTAAGTCAGCGAGGCAGCGACAACAGCTTTCCAGCACTAGTGGCCTCTGTCAGGCTGCAACCGGTGGTCCCTACACAACTGCCTCCACGTCCTGTCCTCAGTAGCTAGGACAAGATCTTCCTCACATTCAAAATAGACACTATAAAAAGATCACTTATCTCAGTTGCAATTTATCTGAAAGATGGCGGTGGTGGGGTAAGGTAAAAGGGTTTTTCTGTCTGTTATAAATCAGGGTAGGTATTCTTCTAAATTGAGCTTTTACAAAAATTAGCAAATCTTTAGTCAAGTCCCATCTGTCTTATCAGTAACAACCCAAGTAGCACCTCCAATGTCACTCAGTAACAAACTGAGGCTTCTCAATTAATTACAGTTCAGAGACTTTCATTTTACTTCATGCCATAAGACCACATTAAGGAAGGCCACACGACAATAAACAGAATTAGAGGAAAATCTATACAGTTAGATTAAATATTCATCAACAATGCCTGAGTTAATGCAAGCTGTTCAGGGGTTCAGATTTGCCCCAAATTTCTAGTTGCTGACAAATCCCTGGTAGCCTTGTCTGTAGGCCAGGACATGGGTTCAAGGATCGGTGGACAAGTAAAGAGGTGGCTTTTTGGCACATTGCCTGGCACAGATCTAGCCCATGTCCTCTGTGCCTCCTCTGCCCCAGCGTGGGGTCGGCAGGGAACAGCCATGGGACCCTGCCCGACCTCTTACATGGACAAGGTCACCCTGTTTCTGGCAGAAGAGGGGAGAGCCGTAGGGCTGGGTACTGCATAGCGCTGCTCACCCTCAGGGCCAAAGAGTTGGTTCTGGCCTGTTTTATCTACATGTATAGACATAGTCATCAGCTCTAGGGATGTTTTTGCCTGGACACAGCGTTTGTACATAGCAGGAAGTCATTTATTGAGGACCAAAATTTGCCTTTCTCACAGGTAGCACTACCCACGGACTCTTGGTTGGCGTGGGGAGAGGTGCTTGGCAATGTAATTGCATCAAGCAGTATTTTGTCTTGGCATAATGCAGCACTATGCACAACTTCAAAGGATGCATTTAAAGTCATATTCTTCCTCGGATTAGATGTTGTTGTTAGAAGATCTGCCTTTTCTAAAGAGCTCTAAGAGGAAGTGCCAGCAGTTGGAGTGCAACCTAGAGCATCCTACAGCATGGTGGTCTGTACAGCATATGGGAAGCATTTTCTCTTCTCTGTGGCAAATGAGGACTCTGGCTTTTCCCAAAACCACATGTAGTAGAGGGGAGCAGTGACAACACAGGAGGCTGAAGGGACATGTTCCTCCTCTGTGGCCTAGGAGGAACCCTTTCAAAAGCAAAGCCAAGGGTTCATGGGACATGGCCATTCATACAGAGGAATCCTATTTAAAACGGGGCTTCCAGGCACATCCTTGAGCTCACTGCTTGGTACCAGCCTGTTTGGGAGTGGGCAAGCCTGGAGAAGCAAGGTGGCCTTGCAGAGTCCAAAAAAAAAACCTTTTCTGAGCCTTAGGGGCTGGAGGTTTGTGCTCCCACACTGGCTTTGAGATTCTTCAGGGACTTACCCCAGGTATTTTCTCCTTCCAGCAGCCCTTCAGGTTTTCTGCAGTTCTTCTGCAGGAAGGGTTGTGTGTTTGGGTTGTGGCTCTCTATGTCCCAGTGTTACAAAATGCGTCTAATGGGTCTAGTACCTCAGTGAAAAGCTTTTTGTTGCTGTTTGTTAGAAAAAAAACAGAGAGGTGCTCTTTTCTTGTTCCACATTTTTCTGAAAAGCACTTTACACAGTGGAATAGGCAGGGAGCTTGGAGAATGGCAGCTTTTTAGGGCCTGTCACATTTTTTACTTTCCAGTAAATTCAGTGAAATGATTTTCCATGTGATTTAAGAAGTGTACTAATTTACAGTGCAATTATTTGAAGGTTTGTATTAATTAGCATTGTTGCAAACACATATTTAGAGCTAAGGCTAAAGTGTAATTCTGAGACACAGTAGGGGACATGTAATTGGAGTTGAAGGTCAGGTCACATATTTGGATTTTCAAAAGAATAAGGCAAGTTCAGCTTCAACAAAGTGTTTATGGATTTGGAATGACAATTACGTTGCTGCTGCAGCTGTATGTTTTGTACTAATTAATATACCTATCGGAGGCTTGTGGCTGGGATCCCGTCACTGCCTCCTGCTGTTTTAGATTGCTGTACACGTTTATATTGACTCCAGCAGGATTACTGCTTGGTTTCCCAAGTGGCAACGAGAGGATAGTCCAGCCAGTGGAACTGTGATTTACACTGGTAGGAAACTCATGAGCCTGAAACCAGGCCAGTGCCGTTACGGAGGTAAATACTGGAAATTTAGGCAGGTGCAATCAAGACAGGAATTGAACAAGTGAAATGTTAAACTCACATGAAGTTTTAGCAGAAACAAAAGTGTTTTTTTCATTTCTTAACTCTACACTATCCAGGCTAGGTCTGTTTCTGCCAGGGGATTAAAAATGGCAGATGCTACATGATTTACTGAATCAATACCTGTTCTTTCATATTTAGATAGAAAACATTTCTGGGAAAAAATGCCACCCCAAAATCCTAAAACATAAACACTAACAAATTGGAACTTAAGCAAGATAAATGATCCTGGTTTGTACCTGTTCTGCTAAAGAAGTATTTACAGGGTGTGAAATAAACCACCAAACACTTTTTATTTAAATAAGGAGTCATTCATTGTGAAATCCTACCGTGGCAGACTGAAGGACTCTCCCTTCTCTATTTAAATAGAAACCCTTCTCCCCAGCCTACGGAAGGACCTAGGAAAATAGCTTGCAGGAAAGGACCCAGCCCTGCAATTGTTTTGTGCACAGAAGCCCTATTGAAACCAGGAGAAGCTGTGAGCAACGAACGTTTGCAAGGTTATATCCCAAGTACCTAGAAAACAGATTTTTTTAAAAGACATCATCAACAATAATAACACTACTACAGTTCTGACTCATGCTCTGAGCAAACAGTTACTGAAGAGTTTAAGATGTTCCCACCTCCCCCAGCTGCTTGTTACCTCTCTGCTCCGGGGAGTGTTGTTTTGGGATCCGTGCCCGCGCCTGCCCGCTGCAGCTCAGGGCTCAGCCCACCCTCCTTCAGGGCTGGGGGACACAGGGTGCTGGGATGGGTCTGTCTCTCCTGCCGCTGGTATGGCCGTGGTGACTGCACACCCAGCTTCAGCTGCCACAGCACTACCTACCTGCCAGGGCACCACCACGGTGGGGCCAACACCCCACGTGAAATGTGGGAAAGGTGGGTAAATGTGACAGCCCATCTGCTCCGACCCATGGGACATTGCCAGGAGGACGAAGGTGCTCGGTGATAGAGATGGGACAAACTCATCACAAATACCTCCAGCAGTAGCTCGCAAATGTAATGATTAGGTGCAACCATAGGCTTAAGGAGTCCCTGAACAGCAGGTTGCAGGAAGGTGGGCAGGTGGACAGGGGGAGCTTGGTTGTTCCTGCCCTGCTCTCGGGGTGTGTTCCCTAAACATCTGCTGCTGGTCCCTGTCTGGGCCAGGCTGCTGGGAGAGGTGTGCAGGGCTGATATGGGGCAGCTGGTCTTAACGGCAAAGCAAAAGGGGTCAACCACTGTGCTCCTGAAATCTGGGGGAGTGGTTATGGGTGGCCCTCTGGGTGTTCTCCCTGGCCCTGGTTCTCGTACAAAGCCCCAGCAGCACCTGAGGGCAGCTTCTTTTATGGCAGATCCACTGTGTCTTACTCTTTTAGAAACATTTTTCCTTTTCCTTTCAGGCACCCAATGGCCTCCCAGCCGTCAGCAGTTTTGTGTCAGCTCCGGCCATGCCTCCCTACGCCACACCAGCCCAAGTGTCACCTTACATGACGTACAGCGCCGCTCCGTCCGGCTACATGGCCAGCCACGGCTGGCAGCACGCTGGAGGCACCCCGCTGTCCCCTCACAGCTGCGACATCCCCGCCTCGCTGGCATTCAAGGGCATGCAGACGGCCAGGGAGGGCAGCCACTCGGTCACGGCCTCCGCTCTCTGATGTAGGAGCTGGTCTAAGACCACCATGAGCCCGATGGCTAGTCGTCTCCTGAGCCTGGCTCACGGACTGCTCTCTTCACGCCAGCGGTACCTGGCATTTCTCCTTGTGACTTGTCTGCCGTTAAGGCTTTTGGGATTGAAAGAGCTGAAGACAACATCAGAAACTTGAGAGAAGTGTGGTGTTGCGCTCTTTAAGTAGAGACCTTGCGTCCCTCAAAGGGCTCGTGGAACCTTGTCCCACTCTCTCCTGGTCAAACCACACGTATTTATTCTTGATCATCACAGACTTTCTAAATGTGCAATTGTTATTAAGATTCGTGTAAAAATCAATAAAGAAAAATCACCACAGAAAATTCTGCTATGCCTTGAATCAGCAAAGGCGGCTCAATGGGAGGTGTTTGCCAATTGCCTAGAGAACAACCCTTTCATCAACAAGGTTACACAATCCACTGCTATTCAGAGATCACTTTTTGGTTGTTTTGTTGGGTTTTGGTAATCAAATATAGAACCAAGGCAATAGGCAGCTCTCAGATTCTTCTGGCACGTCGCCATCATCAGGCAGTAGTAATACCTTTGTGTTTTTATCCATTTGTAAATATAGGCTTTTGACAGCATTTGTTTTCACCTTCCAGTACATTTATTTCTACTCTTTTTTTTTTTTTTTTTTTTTTTTTGTTTTTTTTTTTGTTTTTTTTAAAAAGTAAAAAGTTTTATTTTTTTTTTTTTTTTTTTTTTTTTTTTTTTTTTTTTTGAGTTTAAAAGGTGACTTTCTAGCTATTTTCTGTGTCTTTGCATGGTGGGGTGGTAGCAGGTGATGAGGTTTAGGTAAGATTTTTTTCATCATGTTTTTGTGCCTACGGTGGAGGCTTCAGCATTTCGTGAAATAAATGCAGTTATCTCTTTAGCAGACGATTCAAAAGCAGAAATCCAGTCAAGTAACTCTCCCCAGCTATACCCAGCCTCCCAGATTCATGAAACACCACACTTGTGTTAAGTGTACAAACAGAAATGGGTGGAAAATATCTGAACAAAGCAGCAAACTGTAGAGGAAAATGCAGTCAGTGTGCAACCTGTGCAGAGATGCTTATAAAGCCATGTCAGCCAACAAACCCACCGAGAAACAGCATTGTACCGTCATTGTCGGCTTCACTTGTGTCCAGCATTTTCGGCCCCAAGATTACGTTGTAATTTTTTTAAGAGGAAGTTGTCTTTAATTTCTGCTTTAATGAATGTAAAATATGGCTCTTGGTAAAGTTTACATTGTTGTTCTGGAGCATTTTTTTCCCTTATAGGTATACTGGTGGTGGTGCTACAAACATAGACATTATTTAATATTAACAAATTCCCTTTCTACATTTCTGTATCCAGTGGCAAGTACTCTGTGCCAGTTATTTTACTTTAAACTTTAATCCCAAGAGAACTAACATTCTGATCTTTGAAAATTTCCCTGTTTTCCTTGGGCAATAATAAAGTTCTGACTATTCTTCCAGAATGCTTTCCACATGCTGTAGGTATGTTCAGAATATGACCATGGGAAAAAAAAAAAAACAACCCAACAAACCTGGTGTGACATTTCATATCCTTCATAGAACATTAATATATTGTGTATTTTTATAGAAGTTGTGCAATAACTTAAATTACACTAGAGATAGTTAAAGCAGAGGAGAAAACTGCATTCTTCAAGTATTGCTCTATCTGCATACCATATTAAACATTCATTAAGTGGGAAGGTAAAACACAGTGCCCTCTTTGTGGATTTCCAGCTTTCATAATTGAGACAGCTGTGGGTAAATTTTCATAATAATCTAAGTAACCCATACATATGTTATGTACAGTATATCCACCGAAATCTAGATAGACTCAACTGGCTGCTGCCACCTTTCCCTTTTGCATTAAAAAATAGTTACTGTAACTGTATTTCTATAAAGAACACAGGTATTGTATTATGGCCCTAAGGAAAGAAAGATCTAATCTCGAATCTGATCCTGTATTCTTCAGCCTCAAAGGCATTCAACAACTGTTTAGGTTTAACAAGATGCTGAAACCCTTGTTATTCAGTAGAATGATTTTTAAAGAATGTATCTTTGAAACCACTAAAGGTAATGTGCACACAATTGCATTTCCACTCTGCCACACTGTTAGTGATGTGATGGAAGTTGTTCTGCCTTTTTGCAGTTGTAGCTGAAATAAGATGAGTCATAATACCATGAAAAAGAAATCAGTTTATTTCTAGACAAGCTTTTCACTAAAAATAAAATGGAGAAAAAAAAAAAAATAAGAAAAAGATTATGAGTCAATAAATGATTAATTTCGCAACAGGATTTTAGCTTTCAGCCTTGTTGCTTTACTGGATTACAGAATTATTGAAGAAATCTCCCTATTGTTACCCATACGGCACAAACAAGGCACATCAAAGGAAAAAAAAAATCTGGAAAGAAAAGAAGAGAAGCTTTCCAAGGCACAGCTTTTTGAGCGCCAAGAATTCACAAACCCGTAACAATGTGTGCCTATGTAAAAAGTTTTCAAAATTTTCCCGAGCAACACGATGTCATTTCTGGAATAAAAGTCATCTTTTCTGACGTTCCCATGAGGCTTTAGTGTGTTTCAGGAGATACTTGGAGAGATAGATCCTTACCTTCTATCAGTTGTTGGCATTATCTTGTCTTCAGCTAAATCACGATAATTTATAAAGCAAGGACAAAACATGATGTTAATTATTCCTCACGTGGGACTACACTAGCATGAACCATTTTTGTTTGTGTTTGTTTGGATACAGCTCTCTGCACATCTGCCTGTTGTACACAACACCTTACCCCCGAGCGGGAAGTCGCTGGGGCTGTGCAGAAAGGGTTGCTCCAAGCGAGCAAAGGTATCTGACCTTGCTCTTGGTTAACTGCCTGTGATGGATTTTTTTGGTGTGAGTTTGCCTAACAATGTTTTTTTTTTTTTTTTAATTCTAAGATGCAGAACACTCCTTTACACAAGGACTTTTTTCCCTGCTGATACTAATAGGTAAACTGAAAAATGTTAGCTTATTAGCCACACAACTTTAAGCCACTTTACAATAAACGAAGGAAGAAAAGGGATTTTTAAAAATAATAATCAAGGATCAACTGCTGCTGTCAGGTACAGGGGCATACACCTGGAGTGAACCCACTCAGGTGAATGGATTAATTTGGGAAATATACAGCATGTGTGAGTGCAGAATTTTTAATCTAAAAAGCCTACACTCCATTCCCAGTGTGTCAAAGGTTTTCAAAGAAATCAGTGAAGCCTAATACTCCTTTCTATGACAGCCCGACTGTGTTTTCATCGTCCTGGTACAGAAGTCCTCTGGTGTAAAACTGAATGAGACCCCGTATTACACCAGGGCAGATGAGGGATTGGGCTGGCATGCTCATGGGTTTGTTTCCTAAAACAATTCTGTGTTTTCTGCTTTCTAAAGGTTCTCTTTTTATCAAGGATCAGGCTGAACTATTAACTGAAAAAAAAAATCATGTTGGAAAGGATGTAAAACCAAAGGCTATATATGTATATACAGTATGTTTAAAGCCTTTTATTTTTATATTTTGAATGCTCTAAATTAATAAAAGACTAATTATAAAGCATTTTGCTTTAATTTTCAAAATTATTTTAGTAGTGTCTTCTCTTTGGCTAAGTACCAATAATGAAATGCAACGACAAGGAACATCTTTTCTTAAAATTATAAACTGTAAGACAGCTAATTTTATTGATTTTAGCTATGAAGTAGCATAGGTATGAGACGTTGCTGTTGTCAAATTTAGACAAAAGAGAGGTTTTTTGAGCACGTCAGTACAAGCATTCTTGAAAATGCTGAGAATGCATTTCTATTTTTAGCTTTTTGTTGCTCTTCTAATGCATTAAAAACAGTTGTGAGACGAGACTTCACATGTGAACTGTCATTTTCAAGTAACAATCTGGAAAGATACTTCTATAGGATTGCTGGGAAAAAGGCTTGTACCTCCTTAAGAGGAAGAACATTTCAAGTTAACAGTGTGAATGTAGCATGGAGTGATACAGAAACTTTTAGCAACTGCAAGATATGCATTCATTTGACAACAAACCAAGTTTAGACAAGGGGAACATATTTATAACAGAATAATGTGTAATTTTAAGTTATTTAAAGACTTATTTAAAGAATTTAAGTTATTGAAAAGACATTGTAGAGCAGCACAACTGCATGAATGAAAACAATGTCTTCAATAAGCATAGCAGAAATTATCATATTTCACAGAGCTACTTAGAATAACTAATAAAGACAGGAGTACATAACTGAAATATTATTTATATTTACAGTGGCTGGGAAAAGGAGCAATTTTAGCTTCAGAGCAACAGTTTTTATCTATAGAAAGGTGCATTTCTTTGAAGTGTATGGCTAGATAAATATGACTGCATATATGCTATTAGTCTATAACATTGTTTCTCCATCCCCTGCTGGTAATGAAAGGCTAAAGGGACAGTCAAAGTGCATTGAGTATTTTTAACACAGGACAGCTCTTTAAGCAATAGTATATGAAGGCAGATAAAACATGCACAGCAAAGTACCATATGTCTAAAAGTATTTTTTTCTGTTAATTTATTTACTCATTTCTTCCATGATTCTCACAGTTGTTTTGCAATTTTATATAATTTAATTCAGACTAATTATGTTCAGTATCTTCTGTGTCCTCAGCGAGATTTATACGACGTATATGGCTAAGAAGAAGTAGGACATTTAACAGTATGTGTGTTTTGAAGGTTGTGGCTAGTTATGCTGTCCTTTTTCCATCCTAACTCCCAACAACTTAAGAAACTCTTCTATCAGTGTTGAAATTGTACTGGACTCGACTGAAACTGGACCCAAGACTGACACAAGTGTTGGCAGACTATGGGTCATGTGCTTAACCTGCAGCCAATGGAGCTATCGGTTTACACTAGTTTAGTATCTGGCCCCACAGGATTATTTAATTTTGTCCTTCAAAATCCCCTGAAAGTTATTATCTTGCCATTTCAGCTGACATTTTTCAAATAATGTATTGACTACATAGCATAATTCAGTGTCCAGACTTTTCAGTTTGTCCTTGAAAAACTAATGTTCATATGTCTCCTTTTTATTTTCTCTCAATGCAGTAAAACAATTACAAATATCAACTGAGCTACTTATTTATGCACTTACAAAAAAGCATGTGTTTAAATGTTTTCTTGGATCAGGACCTGAAGACCAAGTTTGTTTTGTATAATACTGATACATTAACATCAGTGTAATCTGAGGGCACTCAGCACTGTAAAAGATGAGAATCACTTTTACTTTATTAAAGTGTATTTTAGAATGCATATAATTTTAAAGAGTACATTTTTCAGAAGTGCTACTTGTGACCAACTGTGTCTTGAAGCCATGCATAAACGTATTCGTAAACCAAAAGCATCACTGCACCACCTGGAAGAAAAGATATTATTTTGCTACATACAAAATTCAGTATTTTCAAGATTTTGTAGAGTATCTGTAGTGTGTAATCTAAACCAGGATATGGCAAAGCCTTATTTGCAAAATGGATAATTCCACTATTTTCCTAATTCATTAAAAAGTCACCATTTCTTAAACCATACCATTTTTACTTAATATTAGACCATGTGAAAAGCTTATATAGTAAATCAAAATCACCCTCAGTGTGATTTTTCCTAACATTTTTTCAAGATTATTATTTTTCTTTGTTCTTTTACAAGTGAAGCTTGTAATCTGAATACATATATATTTGTGTGCTTGTTTAGAGTTAGATTTGGCCAATGAAAGAGCAACTTGAGTGGTGGAATGACAAAAATTCATCACCAGGGTGATGAAAATGCTTCCAGGTAAGATTTAATAAAAGTTTTCAACTGTTTGTTTACCATGCCTAAAGCAGAAGATAGCAGTATTGAAATGAGTATAATCTTCCTATGCCTGTACCTGTCTATGAATCCATAGGTGAAGTTTTGATCTGATGAAATGGCATTATCTGCTAGAACTGATAACAGTATAAAATCCTATGAATGCCATAAAGTATCTTTATTGTCAGTGAAGCCAAACTAAAGCCCTTCTGTAACCGGGCTGTAACTACCACGAACTAAAGAAGGGATCATTTGAGAAGAAGGTGTGTGTATCCATCCATATATATATATATTTATATATATATATAACTAAGCATATAGAGAAGCTTCTAGTTGGAGAAGATGGGGACAGAGACTCAGATTCCAGGCTGCAGTAGTGACAGCGAGTTACAGTGTGCTACTTCTGGGTGCCAGCGCTGGGGCACAAATATTTCCTTCCTTTGCCTTGGCCTGTTGGCTCAGTGAGCAGGTTAGAGTGGCACCTCTAACAAACAGGTCTTCTGCTGAACTGGGCTGACCCTTCTAGGTAGATGGATAGGCTCAGCCAGGCACACAGAACGACCACATGAGTTTTCCCACATTATTTATCTCAATGAACCATCATCAGACTTGAAATCCTCTAAGAACAGCAACTCACAGCGAGACGGAGCAAAAGTTTGAGAAAGGCTTTCACCAACAAATAAATAGACACAATGTCTAAGACGTGATTTGAACTCAAATCAAGGCTGATTCCAATTCTCATACTGTGTGATCTGTTTGTGTACCTCTTTTCCTGAAAGCATTCACATGTTGAAAGAAGGAATTACCTTTCCAGTCACAATAAAGATTGCATTAGTGTTTAATCGGAAAGCCAAATCTTTGTACCAGTCAATGGGACTACAGTAGTGTTTAAAACCAAGTGCACATTTAACTGACTTGCTGGATCTGGGCCAGGACGTGTAGTCGTTTGTAAGATGGAAAATTTTATTCCAAAATCTGCTGTGCTAACGCGTACTGGGGAAGCGAAACCCTGCCTTCTCTTTGTCCTCTATGTAATCTGGTATCTTTGGAGTATGAGGGAAAAGGCTTTTAGCTTCAGAGTTATGCTGAGCTGCCTTGTTTCCCCTCCCCACCTTCTTCCTTCACCCTGCACAATAACCAGGCATGGTCTAGCACTCAGCCAGACGGGCTGGATATGCAAACATTTACAGACAAACCTAATGCCTCCTTTATACTGCAGAACAGACTCTGTACCTGCTCGCTTTTAACCATGTATGTTCTTGCCTATTAAATCACCTTGCACAATTGGAAATACAATTTCACGGGAATGGGATACTGTTCAAATTGGGGCTTCTGCTCTTTTTGACACAGACTGCCTCTGTGAGCTGGCAAAGTCTAAGGGCCCAGTGCTTTGCTTTCATGATTAATCAAAACCAGTCAGGGAAAACCAGTCTAAAAGTCACAGAAGATCTAACTCTCAACCACTGTGCTCCTGCATTTGGAGTAACAACTAGTTGAGAAGGGGGTTAACCAACAAAACCAGTTTTAAGCTATCCTTGTCCTCTTAGCCTTTTAGAGCCATCCCAGTCTCTTCCCAGCTCATACTATTGACCTTTTTGTGTCTGTTCTTTACAACCCCTGCAGAGCACAGGAGAAGAAAGTGACCGGAATTTGATACGCTTGGGCTATGCCTCGACTAGTTGAGAGCATTCTTAGCAGAGAGGCTCTAACCTGCATTTTAAGGTGACTTTACATGGGTACAGAATAGTCATAGTGAAAACAAAAAATCACATTAGAAGGAATAGGAAGCTTTAAGAAACACTTCCATAGGTTTTACAGTTCTGGCACTTGCATAGATGCACTTTGGCTTGTTCACAAATAAAGAAATTGCACAAACCATCAGTTACTTGGATCGTCAATCATCTGACGTGTATGTGCAAATCATTTTTTTAGACACATATTTAGCCAAATTCATCTATGATACTATTAGATGATGCTATTATCAAAATAAGTCATTCAAAAGAGAAAGATTTTGATGATTTCTGGTACACTGTTTCATTTATTTGACTGATGCTTACTATGTTTTGTCAAGAGACTGAAAACTGGAAGAGAAAGCAAGAACAAAAGCACTACAAAAATGACAGAGGGAAAATTACCTGGACCAAGCCTCATGATCTTGGGAATCAAGCCTTTGTACAGAGCCAGAAATCTGTAGCAGAAGAAAAACAAACAAAACTTTTCAAACAATATTCTTGCTCTAAAAGAAGAATGGAATTTTAGCACATGTTTGTTAAAATGCTGGCAGAGCACTTAGAAGCAATTATTTGAAATTACACATGTTCAATAGCAGGCAGTATCTGGATTTTAACATTTTACAGAGGCAGATCAGATGAAGAGAAAAAGTTAATCAATGTTTGGTCACAAAAGCTACGTTGTGAGACTGGCCAATCAGAAATATGACTTTAATCAGTGAGATGGTTTTACTTTCAAGACAAGTCTGTTAACAACAGCTGCATACATGGTCAAAATGACTGCTATAATTGAATATCAAAGCTACAACTCAGTCCCTACTTGAGAAATATTTTTAAAAGTTGGAAAAATGTTATTGCCACAAGAATCTGTCCCAAATTTAATTACTTCAGCAGTCATTTTAAAGATACAGAGGTTTGTATAATTACAATTAGATTAAATTGGGAAATATTCTGGGTTTTGTTGATATTTTCCTTTTATAAAATGAAGAGTTGAAGAAATTACACGGGAGATATACCAAGCATTTATTTGTGGAACATAAACTTTGACTACCCAATAATTATCTTGTCTTTTGTAAAAGTTCACATGGAGTAGGAGGATATCTCCTTGCAATTCTAAAATACATTTTCAAATTGTTACATTGTGCTCTTTTGATACATGAGTTCAGGGTGGCTTAATGGTCCTCGTCAAATCTGAAATATAACAACACGGTTTTATGGACCCATATGAACTAAAACAGGGGTCTGGACGTTTATTAAAATAAGAATGTTTTACCCTTCTTCTTTATAGACTGTTGCCATAGTTTTAAAACAGGTTCTGTACTTGATCTCTCCAGGAACTGGCTGTGGTCCTTGAATCCTACTTTTTGCAACATCAAAAGGAATGTTAATAATTGAGGCTATTGTTCCTGAGACTAGCCCAATTCCAAATTTCCTCAAAAACTCCAAATTTGGATCCTACAAAAAAAAGAGAGAAAGAAAGAATAAAAAGGGAAACGGAAGGACCTATGCAGGTTAAGTACTATAAAGTAATATGCATTTAATCAGAAAACTCACACAACACAACACACTCATGTTATTTTAGCGGAACACATTAGGATTTCCTATGCTGGAACTTGTTTTCTTGACAATCCTATTGGCTATGTTTTTACACATGGTCTAAATTGCTGAAGTACACATTTCCTCACACAGGATTTATAAACACAGTTCATAAAGAAAGACTGGTATGGCATATGGGGATGATTTGTATAATTGGGCTTCACAATGTACTTAGTATTACTGTATCAAAACAGGAGAAATCCAAGCACACTATTAGCTAATTGGCCAGAATATTTTACAAATGACAGCAACTTCCACCATGAAGCCTACTAAAACGCTCATTTGTGTGTTGGACCCCCAAATGCTAAATTAAATAAAGGCTAATCTCAGTCTGCTGCCATTCCCCTCCAGGTTTTTTACATTTATTTTCACATGTAGCTGATCCACTGTACTGAGAAGTGCTAGCTTCCTGCTATTAACAATCCAACTCGGCGCAACTGCAAAAGAGCCTCCACGTTCTGCGCATTATAAATGGTGGTAACTCACTCAGCTAATTGGCTGAAGAATTTACAACAGATTGTTTCAGAACCCTACTCTATATTCACAGTAAAAGTTAGAAGCAGGTTAGAAGTGCGTCTAAAAACTTCTTTGCTCACTCACGGTTTATTTGATCTTTCAGAGAGACCTCCTACCTTGGCATTTTCTATGACATCAAAGAATTCAGAGTTTATCTGAGAGTCAAAGTCTCCTGAAGCAAGTTAAATCCTATTTCTCTAAGTAGTGGAAGTCACAGGGAAGTGTGTTCCAGTGCATTTCCTACACACATATTTTTTTACTATTGGTCTTCAAACAGCAAGAACACTTTTTTGCTATATCAGACTCTATATATGCAGTTCCATTTTCTTTTTCATTAAGGTACTTTAATTATAGAAAACCATCAGTAAAATTACAAAGGATCTTGCAGTGTTATAATAGCAACACAATATTAAAATAAAAGAGTTCTTTGTTTCCCAAACCTCTACATTTGTGACTGAAAAAGGAAACAATGAAGACGTTTTCCTTTCCAGATTAGCAACAAGAAACATAAATTAAAAATTCCATAATATGCATTGGACAAAGTCCATACAGGTGTTTAGAGAGAAATGCTAAAACCGACAGGGTTTTTTATTACTTGCAGAAAAACTTAACACCTTGATATCACAAAACATGAAACATATTGGTAATACCTTTTAAAAATTAGAATGGCTTGTGCTACATAAAGAATTGTAAGACTTTATTAGCAAAAAGCTTAGCAGCAAATTTCTGTTTATTCTGTATGTATCCTGATAGTGAAGACAAATAAAACAAAGAGAGTATTTCTGGTATCTAGAGAAGGAAAAAGAACCCCTTTTGAAGTCGTAGGGGCAGCAGTATGGCTGCCCTGTTCCAGCATGGTGCCTACCTGCCTCCGGGCAGCAGACGCATGATTACACCCACACCTGAGAGCTAAGTACTATTCCAGATTGTATTAAACTCCTCAAACCAGGCTGCGGTGAGGACACTACCACTGCTCTGGTGGCTTTTCATAGTCCGGAATGGTCTGAAATATCCTTGTCAAGCAATTTGGTGCAACGGCACGTTCTTCCATAGCACCGAGCACAGTGGGCTGCCCTCTGGACTGGCCAATATGTGTCAAAAAGGATTTACTTAAGCACTGATTTTCTAGCCTTGTTGTTGCTCCTGAAAAACCCCTCATATTTGAACGACCGAACACTTTCATATTTTGGTGAATCTCAATGCCAGCGCTGGCTGCTTTGAGTTTGAGAGTGCCAAAGAGTATAGGATATAGTGGGACTCTGATCAAGTGAGTGTCTATTGAAACCAGACACCGCACCAACACCACTAAAGGGAAATGACCACAGATTGCTTTACTTCTGTTCAAGTTTTGTGACACAGAAAATGTTGAAAGGCAGCAATTTGCTCATTCACAAAACTGGATTCTAACCAAATGTGCTATGGTATACACTATCTGTGCTATATAACTCGGGTCTTTATTACATATCTCATGGGAAAAGTTTTTGTGGCATTTGCCGCTGTAATATCTGTATCATTTCATTTGTATGACAGATTCAGAATAAATTTACCAATAATCAAAAAAGCTTTTTTTTTTTTTTTTTTTCCCTAAAAGCACAGAGCAGTGGCTTTTTACTGTGCTGCTTCTACAAAGCGAAAAAAAGAGATTCCCAACCATAATTTATGCCTCTGTCTGCAATACTTACATGGACAAAGGAACATTGGCTGTCTATCATGCAGGTGCAAGCTGGTGCATCAGGAAGCAGTGCCTTTCTTTTGATACCAAAATCTGAACTTTTCCTACACCATGGACAACACCAAAATATTCCTAACAGTGTAGGACCCTGTGAAAGCAGACGTGAGGATAACGTATCTGTCTAGCACTTAAGCTGCAAGTGACTCGCAGAGGCAGTTATCATCATGATATTGTCACTAACTTCTGTACCATGAGTTCTCTGACTGAATATTATATATTTCATATTTGGTACAATAGAAAAAGAGATTCTTACAAGCTTCTTTTGTTTTCATAAACGGCAGAGCTGGAGGAAAACCATGTATGAATTCTGTTCTTGGGCAAAGATGATTTCTGTGCAGTATAAGTAGAACATATAGAACAGAAAGTTGATTTTAGATGCTGCCACACCGCAGTACAGTACACCACAAGGAAGTGAAATGCCAGTTTTCTTATTTGCAATGGATTAACTTTGTCGTGGTTGGATAACGTAATCTGTGATCATCTCCCCTTTTTACCATGCTCTTCGCATTTCTGGTACACCTGAGTCCCTGCGCTGTAAGAACCAGCAGACATCAAAAATAAAGAGAGAAGCAGGTATCACTAATAAATGCCATATCTATGCATATCTTGCTGGATTTCCCTGCTTTCTTTGGGAGAAAAAATTTCGAGATGTAATCTCTCTTCTTTTTATACTTAATTGCTCCTATGATAACACTTTAAAAAATGTGGAGACTCCATAAGTTCCTCCTGAATCATATGTGGCTTAATTCCTCCTTTTATATTCCATAATGCAAGAGAACATTCTAGCCCTAAATCTACCACATAAACACCAATGTACAAGAGTGTCACCCACTGGAGACAGTTTTAAATTATCAATTCCAGTCTCCAAATCCCTGGGCTTTCCTTTCCCTACCACTTTATTCACTTGGTTTTTTGCTGGCCACTTTGTCAAAACCTTTGTTTAAAACTTTGATCTCAGTCTAAGCTTCCAGACTATCTTCATCCATACTGAAGGAAGGTCACTTAATTCAATAAGCAGCATAGACATTAATCCAGCAATGAAATAACCCTTTGGTAAAGGCACGTATGCTTGGAACTCAGTTAATTTAATTTTTTCAGAATCATAGATAACAGTTACAGTTGGAAGAGACCCTGAAGATCATCTAGTTCCCATCCCCCTGCTATAGGCAGGGACACCTTCCACGAGACCAGGTTGTTCAAAGCCCCATCCAGTCTGGTCTTGAACACCTCCAGGGCCGGGACATCCACAATTTCTCTGGGCAACCTGTTCCAGTGTCTCACCACCTTCACAGTAAAGAAATATTTAATCGAAATGTACCCTCTTTCAGTTTAAAACCATTACTCCTCATTCTATCACTACACTCACTGATTGATAAAGAATCTCTTTCCAGCCCTCCTGTAGGTCCTCTTTAAGTACTGGAAGGCCACTATAAGGCCTCTGTGGAGCCTTCTCCAGGCTGAGCAACCCCAACTCTCTCAGTATGTCTCCACAGGGGAGGTGCTCCAGATCATCTTCATGACCCTCCTCTGGACTTGGTCCAACAGGTCCATGTCCTTCTCATGTTGGGGGCTCCAGAGCTGGATGCAGTACTCCAGGTGGGGTCTCATGAGAGCAGAGCAGAGGGGAAGAATCATCTACCTTGAAAAATTATTTTATAGTAGATAATGACTCACCAGAGTAGATGTATTTGTGCTGATTTATACACCCATCTTAGGTGCAATCCAAGGGTTCAAAGGCAGGACACCACACTTGCATATGCAGTGGAGGGAAGTGGGTACCTTCAAAAGAACAGCTCAAAATCCCTAAGGCAGGTTTCTTAAAGTAACCAGAAATAGGTAAAGTGGATGGTCCATCGACATGCATAATAGTGTTTAGAAACCTGACTAAGGAACACCACTTATTTTTCCCTTATGAGGCCCTGTTCAGTGTGAGTAAAAGTGGCAGAATGTGTCACAAAGAAACTTACAAAAAATCAATAAAGTAAAAAGATCAATAAATATTGATTTGTGCAACTGAAGCTATTTTCAGATGTTTGTTTCCTTCAATACTGGGAAGTTCACCTTGAGAGCTTGTCACTGGTTTTTTGTTTTGTTTTTTTGTTCAGTTGATGAAGGTACATATCGTATGAGAAAGAACACTTTTATAAGTACGTTTTAGTACTTCTGAGCACCTTGTAGATAAGTCCACTGTAAAAGAATAATGCTTACTGGATAAGGAGAATGCCAATTCCTGTCAAATTGCATGAATAATAAATAACAATAATAGAATAATGTTTGAAGTTGGTATCCGCAAAACAGCCTCCTGAAGTTAGCCCGAAACTAATACTTAGAGTGGAATATTTGTGTTACATTTCTTAAACTCCTTTGAAAATACGAGCTATAGTATTAGTTTTATAGATGAATTACCCTTGGCACAAAACTCCTAAAAGTGATTTCAAATGACTGCTAAATTTAAATACATTTGCTGAAGGTCACATAACAGGTCAGCAGAGAAGCCAGGAATGGAGCTGAGAAGCTTTGTACTGTATGTTGCACATCCCACCTCCCTGTGTGTGACAAGGAGGACTTAAAAAGACAAAGCTTTAGTTTAGCCAACTCTGGTTCTGCTCAG